ATAGTTTTGTTTTTGTTTAATTTTTCAATCGGTTTAAAAATCAGTAGATTTCAGAATTTTTATGTTTCATAAAAATTTATTTGATTGCATCGGTTGGTGACTAAGTAGCAAAATGAATGCCACTTAGAACCAAGAGTGGCTTGTGTTCAAATAGGTTGCTATGCACCACTCTTGGTTGTTGTGGATCGGCGAAAGGCGAAAGGGATAACTCAGTGGATTGCTGTTCAGTTCGCAGAATTCTGCCCTCGAACACAGCATGAGTAAACCTGTCATTCAAAAATCCGGATGATGTCGACGATTCAGCTATTTCTGTTGCCATGTGACTCTTTGGCGAAATTTGTCTGGAGTGATGTTAAACGGTGTTACTGAACTTTTAGAAAAAAAGATATTTCATTATAGTGCTTATGCCTTTTTGCGCGTAGATATAATTTTAGTGAAATGAAATAAATCTAATATGTTTTATTGCTTATTTAACTATTTAAAACAGGGACTGTCAACCTTTTCAAACTTTGGCAGACTGGTGAACCATAATGAAATATAAATAATTGAAATATAAAATAACATATAAATATAGGAGTAAAGTAAAGGAGAAGAAATGCAGTAATCACAAAATTATCACTAAAAGAGATAGCATTAAACAAAATTATCGAAAGAGATTTATATTTATCATCTATTTATGAATATGCAGTCATTTTCTGCTTGCAACAATTAACAATTGTTATGTTTATAATTGAAAGAAATGTTTAATTAATTTCAGTTAGAAAAAATAGTAAAACTGTTTCCTTTTAACCAGCAGAACCAGCCAGAACATTAGTAAAAATTAGATGGCATTAAACAAATAAATTAATCATTAATCGTTTATATGGTTGAGGAATTTTCCATTTGAAATAAAACAATTCTTATTTCGCTTTTGTTTCAACAAATTTTGCCAAGCTCATTTCGGTGGAGCTTCGAAATCGACTGGTGAGCTAGTGAAATTCCAGCGAAATCGCTTTAGATAAGATGTTTTTATCGGACGTTAAACTTGTCTCAATATGCCAGGTGTTGCAAAATCTCGATAAATAAGAATTTATGATATATTGATATGTCCTCTCCGATTTGATTTCCAAAAAAAACAAACAAGTATTTTAGATATGTTTATTTCTTCGGTAAGTTTCAATACGTTTTAATATTTTAAAAAGTATTAAAACTTGGGGCTGATTCATTTCTTTTTCATTGCTTTAGGCATTGTAACAATAATAAAGAAAAATTTATAAAGAATAACAGAAAAATAAAGAAAAAAAGTAAAAATTTTGTCGTTTCCTTTTTTTATAATGTAATTTTGCTAAAAAAGGAAACGACAAAATTTTTTATAATGTAAAATTTTTTATAATGTATAATTTTTTTATAATGTAATTTTTATAATGTAATTGAAAATTTTGCTAAAAAAAATCTTTTATTGCAAATTTTTTTAAAATAAAATGCTTTAAAATATTTCAGGCGGTGTGCCAAGGTCGGGCACAACATTAATGCGCGCAATACTTGATGCTCATCCAGCTGTTCGTTGGTCTGTTCCTTTTATTGTTTTCGTTCCAAATTTTATTACATTTTTTAATTTGTAAAAAAAAAATTGCATTTGTCTTTCTCTGGTCGCTTATCATTCCGATTTTCAGTGGTGAAGAGACTCGAGTGATTCCTAGAATATTAGGATTAAGAGCGCAATGGAGAAAGAATGAAAAGGAATGGAAACGTTTAGAAGAAGCCGGTATCTCAGAAAAAGTTCTCAATGATGCTATATCTTCATTTATTATGCATGTTAGTTTCCTTCGTCTGTTGTAATCTTTATTGCATCAGTAATCTTTTTGGTTTTCTGGTGGTTTTATCTATTTTTTTTAAATCTATTTCTTATTTTTCTTATTTTTCAATTACTGGTTAGACTGGCTCCACTGATAAGACGTTTCCAAGCCTTCGAAATCTTTCCTGACCGGTCCAGGCCTTGTTTGATCCACCTCACTTTTAATGCCATTCACCATAGAGTTTAGCAAATAACGAAGAAATGAAATCAACTCTGGTGGTGGGCAACGAAGCCCATATCTTATCCAGCGAAGATACGCTCTATGATTATGATTATATTGTTAATGCAACTGATATTTGAACGAAGATAGATGTGATCATGTGATTTTATCCACTCGGCGAACCCGTAAAATGTATCGTAGACATGAGTGGTCAAAAGCATAACTTCTTAAATCTCCACTCTCATTGGCTATGTATTGTAACAGTCATATAACAAGATCGAATGAATCACGGCTAGATGCAAACTTTTTATGTTTTAACGACGGCTTCATAAAGGTTTCATCAACTAGAAGAACCTTTTCTAGCTGCGGTAATCCGAGTTTTAATATTATTTTTTGCCTGGCCATTCGGTATTAGAGTGTGTCCAAGGTATTTGAAATCAGGCACTTCCTCAACCGGCAATGTATTCACAAAAAGAAGCATTTCATCATTGCACATAAGACGAAAAGACTTTCATTTTATTTATATTGACCCTGAGTCCGATTCTCGCTGCATTTGTTGGCACGTTATTTAGCATTACTTCCATTTCGTCATAACTGCCAGCAAAAAGGACTATATCATCAATTATTATTCAAGATCTGTCGATATTATGGACTAATTTATATACCTTTTGTATGCCAAGCGGTGTCTATTACACAGTCATCACAGTTAAATATTGTAGGGAAAAGGATACAACGTTGATGGACACCAGTTCTTATTTCGAAGGGATCTGTCAGTTCCCTGGATAAAATCATGAGCCGAATGATCTCTGGAACACCATCGAGTTCCATCAGCCTCCAAAGTCGTTCATCAATTGAATCAAAGGCAGCTGGAAAATCAATGGTAACGGTGAGTATATTTGAGGTATTTGAGGCGATGTTCCAATATCCTTCTAAACGTGAATATCTGGTTAGCAGAACCGTGCCTCAGCCTGGACCCAACTTGATTATGGCTGTCCCATACTGCCATAAGTCAATTGAGTTCAGTCCGAAAACCATCTTACGGAGTCGTATTGGTTTTATGATTATGGATAACAGAGATTTCCTCTTCTATTGGCGGCTCGCAGTTGCAAACATATAGTTCGGCGAGCGAATCAGCTATTTCCTGGCAGATGACGGGCGCATCATGGTTTAGCCTCAAAGAATTCTTTCCATCTTATGAGGCGATCCTTAATACTTTTAACAGTTACACCACTGCTTTCTCTTATCATTTCACTGATCGTTTCCTGAGTTATTGTTGCTTTAACAGTAATTTTCTGTTGTCACCTAACCGAGCCGCCGTCTCCATTCTCAAGGCCATATTATTCTGATAGCGATTCCTGCCGTGCTGCTGTCCTGCAATTCTTCGAAGCATGCGGTAATCAAGATCTGTTGACATTCGTACTTTGGCAGCATTTTTAGACAGTTGGACAGTTGCTTCCGATACCCAACTAGCCACTTCCTAGTAGTATGCCCTAGTGTGAAAGTGGCTGAGACATTCCTTTAGTTCGGACCAATATTCATTTATCGTTCCAGAAAAGTTATTAATATTTATACCATTGAGGTGCTTCAGTTCGATTTGATAATTGATAATAATTCGATTTTAAATACGCCCATTGTCCGCGAATTTTTTAGTATGAAATAATTGAGATAGTTGAAAGATCTTCGGAGAGATCTTGCTGTTTCTTGTGAATTGTCAATTTTATGCGGAGGACTATAACATGGTCAGATCCATGAAGGTTACCAGTTTCAGTGCCGTAATATGAACAGCTATCTAGTGCGGAACTCTGACTGATTAAGATATAATTAATCTGATTGAAGTGTTATTAGTTATCCGGGGGTTTCCACATGACTAGATGTTTTCTACGATGCCACAAGTAAGTTCATGTTCTTCAACATAGCGAAGAAGGCGTTCTCCATTGGTGCATCGGCTTCCGATAACATATTTGCCGATTGTCGTGGTCATAACAGCGGCATTGTGACGCTCGCATTCCAGTCTCCCTCGATTATCTCCATTTCATGCTTTATCAATCAATCATCTGCCGACATAGTTGAAGCACTGACCGAGATTGATGATCTTACTCTTAAAACGAGCATGGATCATACGGTTGCTTACCGGTTTCCTCTTAATCAAAACAGAATGGGCGTTTTCAGATAGAAAAATCGCTACTCCGTTCCGTGCCATGTTGTCCTAAACACCATATATATTCAATACCCTTGCTCTGAGTCAGGATTAATAATTACTCGAGGCCCGAAGTGTAAAAGACGAACCTCCAAACAGGCAATATCGACAGGATATTTAGAAAAAGTGTGGACAGTAATATCGGCTTTCAATCCTAATGCGCATATAGAGATCCATCCCCCTTGAGAGGTTTCGAGCAATTATTCTGGCTCGCGACCATATTTTATTTTGTTTGTGAGCCTTGGGATCATTTTACTCTCGGATACTTAACATGTATAATCGGACTGGGAGCGCGCGCCGAAGAAGGCGGGCTCCATGTCAAGAACATCCGACCCTTTCTCCATAGGGACAGAATTACAGGTGGGTTCCCAGATTCTTGATATATCAAGTTTACTCTTGTCGAAGTCAAGCATAATATTATATTATTTTATAATATTATTTAGATATAATAGCATAAGATGGAGGAAAAAAAATTAGAAGATTGAGAAAAAATCAAATTTAAGAATGAAAAAAAACTTATCGTTTGAGATGCCCAAACGAAGCGATAATCGATAATCAATATCTTTCTCTTTAATCAAAAAAATTCTTGAGAGATGATAAATATATCACTGCTACATATAGTATTCCGATGCATTCGAGTTATTATCTTTTTATTTTAATTCTTTGGTTTAATAATGACTATTTCAATAACTTTTTAGGTAATAACTGGCCATGGTAAGCCAGCAGAGCGTTTGTGTAATAAAGATCCTTTCACTTTAAAATCAACAGATTATTTAGCTGAGCTATTTCCTAAAAGCAAATTTTTATTGATGATTCGAGATGGCCGAGCAACAGTACACTCAATTATTTCGCGCCAAGTTTCTATAACAGGTTTTGATCTCAGCGATTATCGACAGTGTCTTGAAAAATGGAATAACGCTATAGCAACAATGTTCCAGGTTTGGATGACTTAATGATATTGTTATGGTTGGAGGGTAGAATAGTTCAATGGGTTGTTGCTCAATTCGGAGTGCTGGTACTAAGGTTCTACTCCCCGCAGGAGCAAACGTATCCAAAAATCCATGTGATGCCGGCGACTCACCTGTATTTCTATCGCTAAGGGGATCCCTGGTACATTTGTCTTGCACCGTAAGCCAGCGAGGCGAGTTTAAGCAATCATGGTGAAGGCTCTAAAAAAAAATTGTTATGGTTATATGAAATTATAAAATATAAATTAATAGGAAGGAAAAGAAATAAGGAAAATTAGGAAAGTTTGTTTATGAGAAGAATTTTCAGCAATATTTATGCGGCAGATAAGTTTCTTTTATGTTGAAATGACAAAGGAATTTGCAATGGTGTTTTATTCCTTTTTTTGGCAAAATATGTGAGGAAAAGAATTGTCACAAAAAATCACAGAAATTTAGTGCAGCTTTACCATATAGGATTATATTGTTTTTTAAACATTTATTTTTCTTTTCTTAATATAATTTCTTATTTTAAGCAGTGTGAATCAGTTGGAAAGACGCGGTGCATGAAGGTTTATTATGAACAACTCGTTCTTCATCCCGAAGGTCAAATTAAACGTATTCTTCAGTTTTTAGAAATTCCATGGAACAATTCCGTTTTACATCATGAAGAATTGGTTGGAAAAGATATTTCTTTGTCCAAGTGAATAATTTTCTCCAAAATTTTTGTAGAATTTTTCATTTTTTACGAAGTAGGGCTTGGGATAGGGACAAGATGCTGGGTTTTTATTTTGCTTTTGAATTCGCTTTGTATTTCTTGATAGGAATGAACTTTATCATTAAAAATAGTGGTTCTTCAGTACTTTTATCATCGAATAACTGGGAGAATCGTATAATGATCAATGCAATGGGCTAATTTAGGAATTTTAAGAAATTTTCAAAAATTTCTGTTTAAAATAATGAGCAGATATTTTGAAAGGAGTAGGATTTTCATTGGAATTATAAAAACTTCTTTCAAGGATAATTTCAAGGATATTCGGAGTTAATTGCGGCTTTAATTATGTTATCTAATAATGTAGCTTATTCAGTAGTAAATAGTATAATATTTTATTGCTAAAACTTATCAGATTTTCTCAACATGTATTTTTTTTAGAGTTGAGAAATCAACTGACCAAGTTGTTAAGCCAATAAATCTAGATGCATTAAATAAATGGGTTGGTCATATACCAGAAGACGTTGTTCGAGATATGCCAAATATTGCTCCAATGCTTCAAATTTTAGGGTATAAATTCTCTATGTGAATTCATTGAACTCAAAAAATGGATTCAACTAAATTTTTTTCTATTGCTTTTTAAAATTTATGAATGGGAATTTGAAAGGCACATCAAATTGTTTATCTGTAAAATTTCAGTTATGATCCATTAATGAATCCTCCGAATTATGGTGAAGCAGATAAGATGGTGTTAGATAATACTGCTAATATACATAAAAATGAACAAAAATGGTACAGAAAAACTCTGAAAGTTGTTGATGAATCATCTCATGTCCATCGAGATCCATCGAGCAGATTGCAAATGGGTTCCTAGCCTCTTATTTTGCTCGACGTTGGTCTATTTTAAGGTTTTATTTAGAATTTATTTTTTTAAGGTGATACTTTAGGACGGATTTTTAAAAGAAGACGAGGAAATGTCTTGTGAACCCATTAGAATTTCTTACGTCCAAAATGCAAAGTAATCTATATTTAATCATTTTATTCAGTTCCCTTATGGCTGGATTGAAAATCTGTCGTTAATATTGTAATTCTAATGCTAGCTGGAGCCCATCTTCGTTTCTTTTTCTTCGTGAATCTTTGAGCAGATCCTTTCACCTTGAAGCGAAACCAGAAATTCTGCATCGTGATAGGTGAAGATAAGTTTTATTCATTAGTTTTCCTTTATAATAGTATTAATAGTATTAATACTTTTAAGTACTATAAATAAGTATTATAAATATTTTCATCATATAAAAATATTGTACATTTCTTTCCTCTTTAGCTCTAATAACTTAATCGTCGCTTATAAGAGCAACTATATAAGTATTCTGTGCCTCGTATTTCTTTATTTTTTTCCGAAATTTTCTTCTAGAGATTGGAAATCCATTTAATTTGTTTCTGTTTGCATATTTATACTTGATTTTCTTTAGTATGCATTAGATATGATACATTCAAGTATAATCCTTATTTCTTCATTCTAGAAAATCTGAAAATCGATTGAAATTTACCATTTTCATTTACCATTTTCATTTTCGTTTATATACTAAATCACTGCATTTTTTCTTCAGCAGCATTATTGGAGCCCCCAATTTTCTTTTCTATTCTTATTTTTCAATGTCTCAATTTTTTCTACGATGAGAATTTTTCTTCGTAATATTTCTCCGATTGTCAATTTATTATTTTGCAATTTGTGTTATTTTTTTATTTACCAAATTCTATTTATTCATTATTATTAATCATTTGATCATTATTATTAACTATTGGCATTATTTGGTAAAGTTTTTGGAGGTTTTGAAACATAAAACTGAAACTTTTTTATATAAAGGGAAAAATGCAGATTAGGGTGCAATAAAACAGAAAAAGACCAACATTATTATATTAACAGATAGGACAGTTCTTTCGTTTCTGGATAATTCTTTTCGAGAGTAAGCATTCGATGGCGCAAAAACTCGATTAATAATAATAATAATAATAATAATAATAATAATAATAATAATGATAATAATAATAATAATAATAATAATAATAATGTAGTAGTATTATTACACAGATTATTTATTTAGATGTTAGTAGGAACGAAAAAGTTATAGGACATCACATCAATTTTTTTATCCTTAGTATTATTCAAATTTAAGGGTTGTTCGCAGTTTAAGTGAGCAGGACCAACCTATAAGTATAAACCAATTTTGCTTAATCTTTAATGAACCCGAATCATATGATTAGAGATCTCATATGATCGAAATGCTTACAATCAATCAGCAACAGAAATGAAGCTTTCTTTGCAGCCAGTGCAAGCATTGCAAATTTCAATCACAACTCAGAGGAGAGTACAACTGAAAGGTTGCTTCAGCCGAAGAAAGGAACATTTCACGTGAGACGAAGCAATAAAAAGCATTTTACAAACCGGACAATTCATCTATCTAAAGAAAGACGCGCAGATAAGTCCCACCTTCCTGATTTCACGATGTTTGTTTCGCTAAACCGACTAATTGGTTTAAGTCTTTCCCCTTCCCCAGATACGTTCAGTTTTTCTCGCCACTTTGTCATTTTTATAAATGTTTTTTAATATGCACAAATAACGATCAAATATTATAACTGAAAAAATTTTTATCTTTTCTCTTATTAGAAGGTAATAATGAGTGGGAAAATGAAGGCAACCTTCAAAATCTTAATTAACAAGCAGACATCCGGTTAGCGCCAACCACACGGATTCAAATCGTAAACAAATCTGTTAAGATGAGAATTGCAGTTCAGGCAAATTCAGGATAGATTCTTTCGATCTTCCACTTTATTCCTTGTTAAAATGACTGCGTTTTAAATCTCTACGCTAAATCTGTTCCAAAAAAAAGATTTCTAAAATTTTTAAAGCAATCAAATAATGCATAAACGATTTCTGTCAGATGATCGGATGTTTCAGCGATATGGCAGGATAAAATATAAAATATTTTGAAAATGCCTATATCTTACAGATAGGCCAGACAATCTGACCAGCAATAATACGCGCTACTAGAAGAAATGGAAATGCGAAATCAAATCTTAATAATAAATATAATGGAAAAGTATGGGGCAAGGAAACTAAAAAACAACAACGATAAAATTATTAAATTAGTCAATAAATTAATGTAAATAAAACACGGTATAATATGGTAAACATAATGAATTAATATGTATCGAAGGAATAGACCTTACAAGATAAATTATAAAATTTACGGTACTTGGAACTTCATTCACATCGGCGTAAACCAGTCAAACCAGTCAAGCACTAAATTTTTTTCTCTAAAGATTAAACAGCCTTAGTAATCTGGTGACTTTGAAATGATGGAAGTAATAAATTTAGAGATGGAGAAATTATATTTCGAATTCAACAAATGCATTATTTTAATAAATTATCGCCACAATTTATGCTCTTTTTCCTTGTTGATTTGTGCCTTGCAATACATTCGTCAAGCGTATTTTTCAAATTTTCATTCACAGCATAATCTGAACAGTAAACGGTACATATCCACGAGCCTTTAGGAGTGCTTGTAAGACCAACACAGAAGGTATGGAAGCCACGATCACATCGATCACAAAAAAGCATAGAATCCTAGAAATTTCGAGTTCAGGTTTTCATTCAATATAAACGAAAGAAAGGGCATAAAGACATTTAAATAAAAATAATTTGACGCTTCGTTTCGTTTCACAAGCCATCTTTTTTTAGCTTCTAGCTGCTTTTTCGTCAATAAATAAAGGAAATTCAAGGTGTCAAGGAATTCAAAAGGTATAAGATAAGATAACCAAGAATAAAAAGAATAACTTCATCATCGGGTTTCGAACAGATGATGCACTTTTTACACTCGATACAATTCCAGTCGTAACCAAGCGCAACATCAATAACTCGCTTTGGAAGATCCACGCAATCAGGATGCATCGACAAACAACACGAAGAGCACGACAGTAATGGGTCCTCATTTTCTACACCGCATATTGAACATTGAGCTTCCTTCTGATCCTGGTTTAATTAATCAACTAATTTAGATTAGTAACAATCTTGCATGAACTTCAGAGTAAGAAATACGCGATATAGAAATCCTTTCGAACTAAACGTCTTAAAATTTAAACTACAATAAACTAAACAAAGGAGAATTTCGATTCACCAGTGTTTATTTGACGACAAACCCACAATTTTTTAGACTCATTTTAAAACGGTAATGTGTTTAATGCACACTTGGAAAACCTTCATATTACCTTCATTAATTTGCGCTGCACAAAAATCCAACTCGATTAGAAGACAAATCTTTTCTTTCTTTTTGGCACAATGAAATAATTCTTATCTATGTGTAATCAGTACAATTTGTTAAAATCGAGAAAATAAAGTGACAGTGCGGGAAATTCTTTAAATGCAGAAAAAATTCAAATAAATAAAAAATTTTATACTCGAGAAGCCGATAATTTAATAATTTCAGAATTTAATAATTTCAAATAAAACAGGTAGATACACATGTTAGGCACACATGCAAGAAAAAAAATAATCTAAAAGCTAAAAAACAAAAAACACTATGGTTAATTATTAATAATTATTCAATTTGTGATAATCTTATTCACTTAAGTGGAATTTCGAACACAGTGAGTATTTATTCACTCTTATTAATAACCATCGAAGTAACAAAAATCAGAACACTGAAAGAGAGCCACAGGGCTGCAATCTGCACCCTTTGGAGAAAAGTTTACTGAAGAAATTAGGTCTTGCAAAGAAATATAATCATTTTTTCAGTTTAAATAAGTGGCAAACATTGCACCTCCATTTTTTGTATTTCACTCTCTATATGGAAATTTGGCTTTCTTAAAAAAACGATTGACAAAGTTCATTATTAAAATTTCGACCATAAATCAAAAAAAAATTGAGATCTGTTTCAAAAATTATGTAAAATTAATATAAATAAAAAGCAAGAAATAAAAAATTACACTCAGGCAAATGCGATATTTATATTTAAGCTCAAGCATATTCCAGCTGAGGAGATAATTTTCAACAACTTTTACTACCATCATTTAAAAAAATGTATCCGTTTAAAAATGTATACTTTGCGCTGTGAGTTGCAGGAATTAAAATAACAAACGAACAAATATTCTTAAATATTAGAATAAACTACAAAAAATTATTTAAAAATTGTTTAAAAAATAATTATGGGAACAAGCGAAAGAAATAAACTCATCGAATAAACTAAGCAATATATAAGACAATAAGATTATAAAAAGGACGATAAGACTATCAAATTATCGTTTAAAAAGACTGTCGATTAAAAGCCTGCCTACCATGCCAATCCCATAACGAAAAAAAGAATAAGAAACTAATAAAGAATGAAATAAGCGAAAATGGAGAGGAAAAAAGAAACTTATTGTTGATCCACGGAGGCGTTTTCCTCTTGTTTGATTATTGATGATTGCTGAATCACAGCCGCTTCATCCTGAAGCTTCCTACGCTGAATATTTTCCCATAATGAATATATTTTAACAATTTTTAGCATTAATTTGGACTGCCTTTTATAAAGAAGGATTTTGCTAACTTCGATAATAAGACATAATTCTATAAACTGTAAAATCAATTTTTCAATTAACTATGATGAGTATTGCGTTTTTAAAAAACGTTGAAAATATATGCAGAAATCGAAGTCTCTAAATTGACAATCACCAAAAATAAAAAATATAAGGTTTTTAAATATAAATTCAGCAATTTAGCATCCCAACTGATGACTAATATCTCAATAGTACCAATAGTGAAATATTTATGAGAAAATTTTAAATCGAAAGAAGAAATTTAAAAAATGTGAAAAAGCGGAAAGTGATTCTGTTCAACAAAAAAAAGAATACATAAAAAGATCAGAAAATCAGCCATTTTATGCATTAACCGAACTGACCAATTTCTAGCATATACAAGAGAACCTCAATACTTACGTGGCTGACGAAAGAACTCAAAATTACTCAAAAATCATAGATTTTCTAGACTACTGAAAATAACAACGAAAAAAATTGAAATTTGTGGGCGCTGATGGAAAATGAATGTAAATCCAAATCCAAAAGAAAAATAGAAAACAGAATGAATCCAACCAAAAAAATTTACAAAGAATCAAAGTTTACAAGCTTCATTTAGTGGAAGTTCAAGATTGTTCTGAGCAAAATGAACTATTTAGAACTGAATAGAATTTTCAAAAAATAAAGGACAAATTAAAAAAAAATGCAAATTAAAAACTTATATATGTTATGTATATTAACTACTGGGATTTTAGAATTTATATGTACTATGGATATTTGGTATTTCTAGGAGGACAACAAATCGGTGAATATTAGGAAGGATTAAAAAATATATGTATATATATACTAGCATTAAAGATGGTTGCTTAATATGTAGTTGGAGTGATCAAATGAAATTATCGTAAAAAAGCATAGCAATTTGCGTTAAAAATGAAGAGAAAATACGAAATTTCTTTTTTCTTTTATGAAATTATGAAATGTTCTTGTTTTGGCGAATATTTTTAATTCATAATTAACTTATAGTTTAGATACCATGAAAAAAATTGGAAAATTTCAGTAAGAAGCTTTTTAATGAAATATGATTTATCGAACCATTAAGACTTCTTTTTCATCGTTTCCTGCGATAGCGAACTACCCAAATGAAAGAAAAAAAGTTGTTGAATAAATTCCACATAATCTTAAAAGATTTATCAGGCACCACATTTGCTAATTGTTCTACTGTTTATATCAAAGCAATAATCAACCAATTCTAAATGAAATAAATCAAAATGAAAGGAGTAAGCCACTCACCTTTTGAGATAATTGGGGAATAATCGTATATCCACAACTGGGAAAGTTAGGTACAGTTGTTAATACTTCTTGAGACGCTTCAGCAGTTTGGTTTGGAATCGCTATTTCACTTTTATCAATAAGAATTGGAGGAGGAGAGAATTCTCGTTTTGGTGGAAGCAAATATTCATAATCTAAAATAGTGTGAAGTGGCAAACGGCGCATCTCTTCATATGTATACCTGCAAAAAAATGTTCCAATATGTTTCATTTGCAGCAAATTGAATTGAAATTAATCAGTTTTCAATAAACTTGCTTCAGAGGCTATGAATGGATATTTTCGGCTTCACTGGCAAAAAAGAAAAAAAACCTTGGACAATTGGGATAATATAAAATAATATAATATATAACATTGTAATAATAATTGGGATAATATTAAGAAATTCTATTTTTACAACTTATTTTCTTATGCTAAGAAATAAATAATTAATGAATAGTTAATAAACAAATAAATAAAATAAGGACCCATTATCATTTTTTTCAATTTTAAAATATATATATAAATGCAATGAAAATGAATAAGTGAAATAAAAGTGAACAATACGAGATTAGTAGGAACAATTAGTAAAAACTAGACATACATTTTTTAGAATTTAGAATTCAAAACTAAATATTTAGAACTTAAACAAAACTTGTTAAGAAGTACATTCAAGAAAAAAAATAGATTATTAAAAGAAACCTTCGATAATATTGTTGATACTGACCGTTAATTAGAGCAACAGGATAAGGACCTGGCCGACTAGCATTTGGCGACATTTTCTTCCACCTATTTCGAGGCGACTGGATGATCTGGAGAAAAATGTTTGATCCATTAATACTTGATTTTCATTTAGCAAAAATTAAAAATTTAATGCAACATCACAGATTAAGAAGATTAGATTTTTATTCAATAAATACAAGCTTAGCGAATCGTTTTTTTAATAAAAAAAAAAAAATTCAAACGAAAATCAAGCAATAAGCAAAACATTTATCAAAATCTCACTGATGTTTGAATATCCCAAAAATGACGCCTTTCTAAATTTTTAGAAATGTTTAGATCTCGGTTGTATTCGCAAGTAGATTTTATACATTTCTCTCGTAATTCTCGCATTTTACTTGTATCCAATTTAATCTGAAAATTTAATTTAATAACAATTTAATATTAACTATACGAATACAAAACTATTGTGCCTTTCTGTAATCTGAAAAGACTCATATAATGAAATGTTATAAACAAAGAGGAATATCAAACATATTTGAACTGCTTAAACTGCTTAAACTGACTGAAAAGTACAAAAATGATTTTCTGGAATCACCGTCTTAAATGTGAATTCCACAGATTTAATTACATAGTAATTTAATATTGTACTGTAAAAATACAGAACTATTATAAATTTCTATACTACATTAATATAGAAACAATAATATACAAATATTGTTCTAAAATAAATGAAGCAAATTTAAATTAATTTTGACTGACAAACCATTAATCTCATTTTTTAATCCTTTTATGTATAAATTGAATATCTTAATTATAGCAATTAAGAAGATTAGATTTTTATTCAATAAATACAAGCTTAGCAATTGCCTTTTGTTAAATATATTATTATATATATAAAATTATCCGGAAGGAGTGCTTAAAGATTTTAATCAAATAGAAGCGAGCAGTATGAGGTGAGTTTGGTTAAGGGCTTAAGGGCTAAAGCTTTTTTTCTGATTTTAAATTCTTTTAAAATTGCAATGTTATCAAAATTTATCGTTTATAATTAGCGTTAGCCAATTGCTTTTTCCATATTTTTCTGTTGATAAAAGGTTTAATTATATAAGTTTGAGGTCCTACACATGTTATGAATTTGTCATTGCTTACAATCTAGTAGGAAAGAAAATAAAAAGAAGCCTGGTCATCTTATTCCAAAAATAATTGATCGTATGGCAGGAACAACTAATATTGACTAAAACACGAAAAGGCTAATTGAAAAAAATATGAAAAAGCCTTTTTTTCATACGATCGCAAAATTTATAAGTCAGTGGATATAAAGGAATTAAGTCAAACAAAAAAATATGAAGAAACTAACAGCTTCTAATTGCTTCTGTTGTTCAGCCATTTGAAGCTTTATTTTATCCGCTGCTGCTCTCTGATATTCCTGAAAATAAAGAAGCTTTAACATCATTATCAGAAAATGAACCTAAAAGCAACATTTTATTCATATTAAACATCATTCATATTCATATTACCAATTATTCACATTCATATTCATATTAATCATCAATCAAAAATCACTATCAAAAATCAAATCAAAAATCACTAATTTCCAGTTTTCCAGTTTTTTGTTAAATGTTTGTTAAAATCTTTTGAAAATAAATAATTTAATATTAATCTTCAATAATTTAATATTAGATGAAATGAATAAATCCTAAACTTACTGAATAGATAATTGGATAATCATTGGCCATCAATTCATGAATTTCCATTGCACGTAACGCTGTTATATCACGCATTTCTGAAATTAACTGAAATAAATATAAACCACGAAGTTTCAAGGTCAGCGAATTCATATCATATCAACTAACTAGCAATGCGATGTCAAGCGCTTGCCATTTATTAATTCATAACAAGCTGAACCTATTATGGAAATCTAAATTTGAATCTGTTGTATGTCCCTAAATTATTTCATATTATGTCAGCAATATACCATTTCAGTACCACACGATTTATGCAGCACGTGCCATAGTTTGTAATTGAACAATTAAAAAGAAAAAGGAGTGTTTGAAGATAAGATGAACATAAGATGAACATAAAGATCGAAAATCTCGTATCATATCAACAAATTAACAATGCGATATCAACGAACGCTTGCAATTATTAATTCATAATTAAGCTGAATTGAGAGTTGCATCATAAAACAAAGAGTGTGGACCATCATTTTTAAAAACGAAATACCACTCGAAATAAACCAATAAAACAAAATTTAAAAAAGGATAAAATAATCTGCAAGAGAAGTAAACCTTACTTATTTCATTCATAGCTGAAGAAAGTTTATAAAAAGATAAAAGATGTTCTTTTTCATTCCAATCGATTGGCCTTCTTGTTAATTCCGGATATTTCCGCTTGAATGATTTTATATCTAGAAGTTCAGCGATTTGTTCCTAAATGAAAATTTCATGCAAGTACAAGTTTAAAGCAGTACATAAGCAGGTGTTCTACATAATAAAGTTTCATAAATATATTTTAATACTTATACATTAAGAAAAAGGTAGGACGGCTACGCTGTTTCAAACGAGTTTATTTCCTTAGGAAACTATCTAACTATCTATATCTTAGAAAATGAAATATGCAGCCAATTTGTATTTCTATCTCCCAACTGACTCTGTGGCGAGATCCCACCTTAAATATTAAATATTAACAGTCAGCCAAACCAGAAAAGATTAGATGAAGAATATCTTAAGATAAATTTCTAGAAAAAAGCGATAATATAAGATTTTTCATAATATATAATTATAAAGCAAACTTGAATAAAATATCGCTCCCCAGATTTAAAAGGCCATTCGTATTCTATCACTTGACTTGGTTCAATAGCTAAGTGAGTGGTATCGGATGTTATGACACGAGTTGAACTTGATCTAATCATTTGTTTCGGTTCGAACGCTGACCCCCCCAATGCCTCAACAGATTCTGCAAATCCTCAATCGAGAAAATTTGCATAAAGACCAGAATTCAATCAATCTATTGATTAATTATCCAAATCAAGTTCCATAAACTTTTAACTCACCACGTTTACATGAGATCAATGAATTTTCTTGTGAGTGTATCGCCACATCACTATCTGTCTCATCAAAAGCACCTTCGGTGCCTTGCAATTTTGGATCTGAAGATTCATCCTCGCCGACATCCATAAACATAGCTAAAAATAAATTTATCAAACATATTCGTGCAATCCAATCTTCATTAGCGTGAATTACCATCGGTCGATTCATATCAACAAAGACAACGACTAAAATTCGCAATAAATGAATATAATGCATTTTTTCGTTGATAACCATAATTTGCCATGCCAGTGTGCCTACTTAACATGCCCAAAGACAATCCAAAATCCCGGAATTCGGTGCACTGTCCAATGAATTCTGCCTCAAGTACGCACTAAATCAGTTCCTTATTTACCTCGAAAGAATTTCGAATATCACCGTTCCTTTAACTCTCTTCGAAGCTCACTGCGTTCTCGGGCGGAAGAAAGCCAGCCATAAATTGTAATTAAGACCACTTCGCCTTGATAATCCGTACCATTCCCTGCTAAACTCACACCTAAAATCCCCTCAGACAGTTCAAAACACCGTCTGAAACTTCGTTCACTTAATACCAATTGTCCGTTATGACCGCTTACAAACAAACTTTTCTCTCCCCAAACTTCATTATTAACCAACCCTTCGCGCAAAGCCCCTTTATTCTTTTTATATTTCATCCTTAAATTCAAGCAGCAAAGCTTCATTCATAAGTCCAATTTAGCGCTCTACCGGCGGCTCAATTTAGGATTGAACCTTTTGACTTTCTGCAATCATTTTGCCACCTTTTCCCACTTTTATCTCCCTAATGTCTAATCGGCGTTTCTTAAGCAATAAAAAGACATATAAAAAAATAAATTTCCAATACCGTGTCCATGTTTTCGTTTTAAGACTTTTGGACCACAGCAGTGAAACTGTACAAAAATCTGGTTGATGGTTGGGACTCACCTGCATTTCTATCGCTCAGAGACTCTTGCTCCTACGTATCTTTTAAAACACATACTTTAATTTAAAAATTATTATAACTTTTTGGATGTAGGAGTTAGAAGAATTGTAGACCGTTTTCGTGGGATTTTTCTTCGAAAGGGGTCTTCCTGGATAATTTTAAGTACTATCCATTCAGGTTTTTATTGGCTCTTAGCAATTGGTCACTTTAAGTTGCAAATTGTTTCATTGCAAAAGTCTTGATAATATTTCACAAATATTTTATAAAAAATGTGCAATCTTTCTGAGTCTTCCCGTATTCTTAATTATGAAATTTGACTTTAATCCCAGAATTTGGAAATTTTCTCATATAATTCCTGTTTATAAAATTCGTAAAAAACTATGTAAACTATATATTCTTTCTAATTATTAGCCTATTCGCCCATTATGCATTGGTAGAAAACTACTGGAAAGGTTGATTTGCAATAAGTTGCTTACTTATCTTGATGCCATTAATTCAGTATCCACCTATCAGTATGGTTTTTGTACGAAAAAATCCAAATCTAATTCTTCACAAATATTGATAATGGAGAAATAGTATCAGTTGTATAGTACCTAGATTGGCCAAAGCTTTTGATACTATTTCCCGTAGTAAGTTGTTAGCCACTCTTCTTTTTCTTCTAACCATTAATGGTCAGGGCTCCGCTGGCTACAGAAGTAAGACGTCTTCAAGCTGCCAGGTCCGACGCCATTGCTAGTAGAAGCCATTCCTTTTTCCATCGTCCAAGTCCATATATCGTTCAAAATCTTCCCTGACTTAATCAGTCCAGGTCTTGATTGGTCGACCTCGCTTTGACATCCACCACAGGGTTTAGCAAGTAACGAATATGCGTCAACTCCTGTGTTGGACGACGGAGAACGTGTTCTAACCAGTGAAGGCGACGCTCTGTGATAATATTATTAATGATAATATTATAATATTATTAATGCAGGTGCTATTTGAGCAAAGATAGATGCGATCATGTGATATTTTATCCGCAAAATGTACCTTAGACACGAGTGATCAAAGGCTAATGGCTTTAATATCCTCCACTCTCACTGGCCATTTTTCGCAGCCATATAGCAAGATCGAGTGAATTGCAGATATATGGACGCGGATTTTTGATATTTGAAGAGTTCGGCCTGAAGATCATCTTCTCCAGAAATTTTATTAGCCTTAAGCTTGATTACAGAGGGTATTTCCTCTTCTATTGGCGATTTCACAGTTGCAAAGGTAAAGCTCGACGGGCAAATCTTATATTCGGGACAATAGATGGTGCATCGTGGTTAAGTTTGGCCTCAAAAAATCTTCTGAGGCGATCCTTAACAGCTTTAATATATCCGTACCATTTCACTGATCCCTTCTCGAGTTATAGTTGCTTTGAGGAGAAGGCGAAATAGTTTCCTATTATGACCTATCCGAGCCGGCTAGTCCATTCTCAAGGCCATGTTGCTCCTATAGCGATTTCTGTCCCGCCGGGCTGCTGTCGTTGTAATTCTTCGAAGCATCCGATAGTCAGGATTTTCGGATATTCGGGCTTTGGCAGCTTTTTCAGACAGTCGGACAATTGCTTCTCATTCCCGACTCCCAACTTCGTACTAGTATATCCTAGTGTGCAAGTGGTTTTTGTAGGCATGTCTTTAGGTGGGACTAGTTTTCATTCGCCGTTCCAGAGATATCATTGACATTCATTTCACTGAGATGTTTCAATAATGCGGTCTGAAATGCGCTTATCGTTCTCGGATTTGTCAGTTTTATACGAATTTCGGCTCGAACTATAGTTTCAGTACCTCGATAAGAACCACTATCAAGTATAGAGCTCTTCCAGCTGCCTAATATATAGTTAATATGACTGGAATATTGGTTGAGTTCCATGTGCCTTGATATTTCCTCCGATGTATTAATAACAAAGAGTTCATGCTTTTCAACAAACGAAGAAGGCGTTCTGCATTGGCGCATTGACATATTTGTCAATCACCGAGTTCATCGAAACAGCGTCATGAGCTACGCGCGCGTTCCAATCTTCCCCGAGTATAACCATGTCGCCACTCGATAGGAATTTTTTTAACTGTTGAAGTCACTCTTAACAGTCGCATCACAGGGAATCTGTGTGACTGGATGTCAGATTATATAAAAAATCTTCGCCAAAGTGATATTATGTGCTGTTAAATTCTACCATTTATTTTTATAATGATTATAAAATTTGATAATTATAAAATTTATTATTCTCATGGTAAATCGGATCGCCTGTCTTCACTACAGGGTGGCAGTAGAATTGCCTCAGTAGAATTGCCAACTGGCCATATAACAAGCAAATTACCCTTTTTTTCAAAAGTGTAGTATTTTACTTATAGATTCGAAAGGATTCGATCTTCTTAATCTTTTTATTAATAGTAACATAATCAGACGAATCACGCTTATTTCGGATCTTGGCATAATCATGCTGTTCGATCTTCACTGCAGAACCATAGTAAATAAATCCTCAAAATTTTATATTAATACTAAATTTTATTTTTCGTTCATTTAATAACAGAACTGAAGATTTTCTTAATGTATAAAGCCTTCTTGAGTACTATCTGTCACTCCCGATATACCGCAAGTGAAGTAAAATAATTGGAAAGTTCCAGAAGTATTTTATACTTCATCAATCTTCTAATAGCAATTTTGATTATAAAACACAGCCTGGATTCCCTCTCAATTTGCCAGATTAAAAAGAATTTAATTTTTAAAGTTCCAAACGGTTATATTAAATTAATTTGTTCCAAATATTACAATTTTGGGTTGAATTTAGATCCAACAAAATCTAATGGGATAAAAACTTCACTAAAACTTATATGCAAAACTAAACTTCTTCTAATAATTCTCACCATTACTGGTTAGGCTGGCTCCAACGGTTACAAGGGTAAGACGCTTCCAAACAGCGCGGTCCAATGCCATCGTCGACAGTAATGGAAGCCATTCCTTTTTCCATCGTCTAAGTCCATATATTGCTGATCCACCTATACGTTCAAAATCTTTTCTGACCTTATCAGTCTAAGTCTTGATTGGCCCATCTCGCTTTTGACGTCAACCATCACACAAGTATGCGGCAACTCTTGTGGCGGACGACGAAGAACGTGTCCTAACCAACTGAGGCGACGCTCTGTGATAACATTATTTATGCAAGTGGTATTTGAATGAAGATGGATGCGATCTTGTGATATCTTATCCGCTCGACGGATCCGTAATATGTACCTTAGACAAGAGTGGTCAAAGGCAGATAACTTCTTAATATCCTCTATTCTCATTGGCCATGTTTCAGAACCATATAGTAAGATCGAATGGATCAAGGTAATATAGATGCGAACTTTCGTTTTTATGGTGATTTCACGACGATTCCATAAAGGTTTAATCAAGGACGCATTTCTAGCTGCCGTGTTATAATATCCGAGTTATAATATCATCTTTTGCTTGTCCATTTGGTATTAGAGTGGATCCAAGGTATTTAAAATCAGGCACTTCCTCAACCTGCAATGAATTTGCAAAAAGAGGCATTTATCAGCTTCTTGCACATAAGACGAAAAGACTTTCGTTTTATTTACATTGATCATGAGTCCGATTTTTGTTGCAGTTTCTGACACGTTAATTAGCATTACTTGCATTTCGTCATAACTATCAGCAAAAAGGACTGCATCAGACTGTATTCAATGTATTCAAGGTGTGTGATACGATGCTCTGGACTGATTTAGACACCCCTTGAGTGCCGACAAGCAGTGTCCATTACTCAGTCTATCGCATAATATCGTGGGGGAAAGGACGCAGCCTTGACGGACATCAGTTCTTATTTCGAAGGAGTCTGTCAGTTCCCCATATACACAGGCCTGAGCCGACGTATGTTCATAAAATGCCTTTATGAGTCTTATGATCTTCTCTGGAAGACCGTCGCATTCCATAATCTTCCAAAGCTCTTCTCTATCAATGAAATCAAAGGCAGCCTCAAAGTCGATGAAACACATGACAGTGGGTTGCAAATATCTGAGCAATGTTCCGATATTCTTAACGTGAATTTCACCGCAAGTGCACACAAGTGCATTCCGATTTGAATCCAGCTTGATTTGGGCGTATCCTGCTGTCTCGTACTTCCATAAGTCTGTTGAATAAAAAAGAAGCAAAAATTTTCGCTGAAACGTAGGCTGATTCCTCGATAATTGTTGCAGTCCTGTGTCATTTTTGTCCTATCACCTTTTTTGAGAATTGAGAGCAGAATTGCTTTGCTCCAGTCATCTGGTAATATTTCTTTTTCCCATGCTAGAGAGTACATTTGTTGAAGGTGTGTTATGAAAGACAATGGACATTTAAAGAGTTCAGCCCAAAGACCATCTTATCCTGGAGCCTTATTGGTCTTAAGCTTATTGATAACAGATATTATTTCTTCTTCTCTCGGTGGCTCGCAGTTGAAAGCATATGGTTCAGCGAACCATTTTACTAATCGTTCCCCGAATTTTAGTTGCTTTATGACGAAAGTAAAATAGTTTTTTATTATCGTCTAATCGAGCAGTCGCCGCCTCCATTTTTGAGGCCATGTTATTCCAATAGTGATTTCTGTCCCGCTGTGCTGCTTTCGTTGCAAATCTTCAAAGCATCCGGTAATCAAGATCACCTGACATTCTTTGGCAGCTTTTTCAGACAGTTGGACAGTTGCTTCCAATACCCAACTATCATACCTCCTACTAGTATGCCCTAGTGTGGAAGTGACTGGCCTTCGGAGACATTCCTTTAGTTTGGACCAGTATTCATTTTCCGTTCCAGAAAAATCATTGATATTTGTATCACTGCTTCAATAATTCAGTTTGAAATGCGCTCACTATCCTCCGAATTTTTTAATTTGAGATAGTTTAAAGATTTTTGGTTATACTGTTTTCTGCGATTGTCAGTTTTATGCGGATCATGGCTCGAACCATAACATGGTCAGATCCATGAAGGTTACTCGCCACGGTAGGAATGACTATTTAGTGCGGGATTCTTCCTATGGTGACTGACTAAGATATAATCAATCTGGTTGAAGTGTTGTTTATCCGGGGAATTTCACGTGAGTAAATGTTTTCTATGATGCTGGAAGCATTAGTAATAAAAAGTTCATGCTCTTCGGCATAAGGAAGAAGTCGTTTGCCATTGGCGCACCCATCTCCGAATGCCATAATTGTAGAGGTCATCGTAGCATCATTTTGATCTACGCGTGCATTCCAGTCCACCTATGACCATGTTTTGGTAGAGACTTTGTTGCAGTTGAAGTTCCGCATAGAACTTATCTTTATCTCGGTCATCTGTTGACAGAGTTGGAGCATAGACACTGATGACCGAAATATTGCAAAACTTACCCTTAAAACGAGCATAGGCCATACGGTCGCTTATCGGTTTTCACTCAATCAAAGCGGAATGGGCTTTGTCAGGCATGACAATCGCTATGCCATTTCGCCCCGAGTTATCCGAAGCACCATAGTGATATAACCAGTACCTCTGCTCCGAGCCAAGATTAATAATCACTTGAGACCCGAAATAAGGAAGATGGACCTCCGACAAGCAAGCGATATCCACACAATATTTAGGAAAGGTGTGGATAGTGATCGTTTGGCTTGCAATGTCTATAAGCGTTCTGATGTTCCACGCTGATACGGCTGATACCTCGCCACGCGTGCAGAGAGCTGTTCTTCTTGATAGGTTTCGAGCAATTATCCTGGCTTGCGAGCACATTTTATTTATCAGCCTTGGGATCGCTTTAAGCCCGGATTGTGCACTTGTCGCATGTACCACCGTAGTGGGAGTATCATGCGCGTCGGGGGACGCGGCCACTGTATCAAAAATATCTGATTCCTTCACCACAGGGTCACCTGGAGATAGAGATACAGGTGGGTCCCCAGCAGCCACCCAGATTTTTGATATAATAGCAGGTTTCTCATACTCTTGCCAAAGAGGCAAAAAAATTAAATTTAAAGAAAATAATAGAATAGACAATGAAATTTTAAAAATAATAAAAGAATAAAAAGACGATTAAATCTTTAAAATATATATATGTATATATATATATATATATATATATATATATATATATATATCGTTGTTTGGTACAAAGTTTAAGAAGATTCAGCTGAACTATGCAAAACTAAACTAAGGACTCATGACTTCTTTATTCATATTATTAATAACTAAGATAAACTACCGAACTACCGAATAGTTTGTGCGTCATTCTTAGCTATTAAAAAAAGAGATAATATCATTTATGAATTTTTATCATTCATTTATATATAAATAATAATTCACTATGCTATTTTGTAACTCCTCTTTATTTCCTCTTTACTTTATAGTTTTTTTGTCATAATTTCTTTTTTTATCGCTAATTTTGGTTATATATTATTTTATTTATTGTTATTGATACAAGTTGGTGCCTGCTTGGTTAGTTTGCAACAAACAAATAAATAAATTTCAGACATTAATGGATGTTAGTGTATTCGGTTGTGGTGACACTGAAATGCATAATAACAAAAATGTAAAAAGCATTAAAGCATAAACCGAGAACCTTAAACGGAGAAAAAATATTCTTTGCATCTAACATGACTTCAGTTTTAAAAATGCTTGTGTTAGTATTTAGCAGTTTATTTTGTATTCATATTTTATGATCAAGTTTTGTACTTTAATTTTAACAAAAATGAATAATAATTTCAATAAATGTGCACGATTGGCACATTAAATCTGTCGCTTCTGTGAAAAATGACGAGAGAAAAATTATTCATAAAATGGAAATGTATATGATCAGTAATGGTATTGATAGGGATAGAATGGCTGAGTGGTTTGTTGCTCAATTTGATGTTGAGGTTCCCCTCAGTAGTGAACCTGTCCAAAAATGCTGGTAATATTGGCGACTCATCTGTATTTCTATCGCTAAGGGATTCCCTGACATATTTGTCCAATGCGAAAAGCCAGAGGAATAA